ACAAATATAAAACATGTTAGTATCAAACATTAAAGTCCATATTAAGTTTACATTATACTTATTCTTGCACAATTAGTGTAAACTTTTCAACATGACATAATAAACTTAGCTAGACATAATGAAAGAGAGAAACATAAATAAACAAGATAAGAACATAAATAAAATAAAATTTAACTAAGTAAATGAAAGGAAATGAAACGCATAAACTTGATATTAATGAAAGCAAAGCATAAACATTACAAAAAATACAAAGAGAGAAAGCAAGAACATGATCTTGATCTGGAAACCAAGATGCCTAAATGCATGGAAAATACCTCCTTTTATAGGCCAAAATTAGGAACTATTGATTTGATGACTAATTGATGAGTGGGTGACTAACTTTTGACTTGGTGACAGTTCTTATCTTCTCTTATCTGCCCAAAACATCATTGATAACATCAGAATTGGAACTACTGAAAACATAAAAGTTATAGGAAATTGTCTCATCTTTTCAGGAAAAAAAATGGAGGTCATTTGGACTTCAAGAACTCCAGATATGGGCTAAATACTGAACAATATTCGGGGTGTAAAACAGATTTAGACTTCTTCATTGTTATTACAATTTGGACTTGAAAATGACCTTTTTAAATCTTGAGATCCTATGAAAGTTGTAGACATATATCTTACATTTCCATCTATATAAAGTAGACCTAAATCCGAGATCTTCAGCTCCAGATATGACCCAATTACAGAACAGTGTTCCTGTTTGGACTGCACCAGTATCTTTTTTCTAAGTTTAGTCATCTCTTTATCCTTTCAATTTTAATTATTAAACTCATCAATCAATCCTTTGATTTATGTGATGGGCTTATATTTAAAATGAACATTTACCATAAATTAAAGGTATTTTATATTATTAGATATGTTATTATAAAACATGCTTTTAGTTAAGGACTTATTGATATTTTAAGTGCAAAATAATGATATAAAACTTTGATAAAATGCACTTTTAAGTACTAATCAATATGTATCCCTCATTCAATCTTATTAGGGTAATTACCCTACAGACCCTCTTTTTATAAGTTATGAAAGCTAATCATCAATCAATCCTTTCATTTATGTTATAGGTTTGCATTTAAAATGAACATTTACTACAAATTAAAGGTATCTTATATTATTAAATATGTTATTATAAAACATGCTTTAGTTAAGGAGTTATTGATACTTCAAGTGCAAAATGATGATATAAAACCTTGATAAAAATATACTTTTAAGTACTAGTTAATATGTATCCCTTATTCAATGTTATTAGGGTAATTACTCTACAGACCCTCTTTTTATGAGTTATAAATACATCATAAAAGCTTCATAAAAAAATATTCACAATCTTCATTCTATATTACATATATATTTTCAGAGTATCTCTCTCGAATATTCTTGTATATTTTCTCTCTAAAAAAATACTTATTTCAACATCGAAGAGTGTCTTCACCTTCACCAAAAGAGATATTTTGTAGATACTAACCATGAATAGTTTTGATCTATCAAGGACCAAATATAAACTATTAATTATTTTGGCTAAAGAAAATGAAAGAGATGATTAGGACCAATTAATTAATTGATTGTTAAATTCAGGAACCTATTTTCTAACTAATTGAATTTTTAGGACATTATCAATTAGTATATTTGATTTATTTTACATAGGAGGAGCAAAACGATCCCAATCAAAGAAATGTTGACAGAGGAGAAAGATTGGAGTTTAAGAACAATCATCTACAATCAGAGAACCATTGGAGTTTACGAACAATCATCTACAATCAGAGAACCAGGGCATGGTGATGCAAATGTTGAGCAGGCATATTCTTGTCGTAGTTGCATTTGCATACTTGTATTTTGGATCTATGTGTAACATTTTGAAAATAATTCTCGATTGATAAGCAAAATAAAATCAATACCTGTTATCTAGTAAAAAATATCGCATTTTGATTTTGTGACGATGGCTCGGTGAAGTGGTTGTTTGCGAAAATCAGATCCCTTCTCGATTGATCTCACTAAAAGCTTTAACTTTTAGGATTCTCCACTTAATTGATGAGATGATTTCTTCACTTTAATTATTTGCATTTCGAAGATGTCGAATACTTTACTGGTTTCAAATTTGTATTTCAGCATGGATGTATTCGGTCTTGTTGCCATAATCTTAATTAGAAGGAGTGGGTCTATAAGACTGCGATTAGGATGAAAAGGTAGCAATTGGTCACAGCTTCATTTGAAACTACAGTGGACAAATTTGCGTAGACGGCTGGGAACAAAACGTGGTTTGAATAGAAATAATACACAATTAAAATTGACAATTTTGTTGCTTGGCAGACCCGAAAACCTTACGTATAGAATGATCATGTTAGATTTTATATGCAGTTAGATCTGAGACTTTTTTATTCTAGCATGTTATCAGATTCAAAAATTTATATCTAGCTAGCTAGACTATTGGACTTAAAGATTTTAGTTTTGGCTTGATTGCACTCAAGGTTTTTTTATGTGTATAATAATACCAGATCCAATATACTTAAAATATTATCTATAACTTTAATATTATTTTTATATTTAAAAAATTATTATTAACCTTCTACAGAGCACATGGCATTATGCTAGTTTCTCATTGTATCATGTTTCTTGCTAAAAGTTTGAAGTGTTCAACAATATATTATATTATAGAATATTATAAAACTATTTTTAATAATTTTTTATTAATTAAAATTTTTGAATTGAAATGATTTTTTAATATAACATTTGTTTTAATTTCTTAATTGAAATAATTTTTTAATATATTAGAAGCAAAATTTTTAAAAGAAATATTATAAATAAAATCCATTTACTATATGAAGAATTATTATTTTTTAATTATATGCTAGTACAACGCCATTCAAAAGAAAGATACATATATATCAATTTATGAAAATTACAACTCCACAATACCATTGATTTTAAAAATTAGAAATGGCTCATTAAACAAGCTATTAATTATTTCAAAACAACACATGAATTCGGTAATTCAATAAAGTTTCAATAATTTACAAACAAATACAATCTTACAAAATCTAAAACAAACCATAACAAGTATAAAATTATACATTCATACGCTACAAGTTTATTTGAGAAATAACAATAAAACATGTACATATACTAACATAATACATATACTAAAAAAAACAATAAAATTCATATTTAAAAAGATAGAATTACTTAAAAAACTAATAAAAATCCATTGGTAAATTAGAACACTAGAAGACTTCAAGAAATATGGCTTGTTGTGCTAAGAAGAGGGAGATTTTTTTAGGGGGCTGATTATTTGTAGTTGGAGAGAGTTGAGATGGGAAATAAGGAGAAATAGGAGAGGGAGAGTCGATAGAGATGGGATATATTAACTTTTTTCGACAGCTTCACCAACGAACCTATTCCGTCTGTGATTCTGTAGGCTAATTTGACGGTAAACAGGCACATCACCATACGAAGCTGTCATTTTGAATCCCTTGGTGATTCTGTCAATATTTTCATCAGTGAATCAGTCACGTCACCTTACAAAACTAACATTTTGAATCCCTTAGTTATTCCATTTGTAAAAAATACCTGCAATAACCTCAACATCATTGAACCACCTTTTATATATATATATATATATATATATATATATACATATATATATTCAACATTCCGTCAGTAATTCTATTGGTAGTTACTAACAAAATTTGGCTATCGATAGTTACCAACTGATTAAATTCGGTCGGTAATGGTGACCTCAAATTACCGACAGAATTATTCCATTAGTAATTCTGTTAATACTAAGTGAATTTCTGGTATTGATTATTTGCTAATTATAAAACATTTGGTACACACTCTTTTAATTGCTATATATTTTATTTTGAATCTTTTTTTTTTCAATTTTGCCTCTTAAAATTTGATTTATTTTGATTTTTATATTAATTTTGGTCCTCATTTAATTTTATGATTGTTTTCTGCTTTTCCCTTATTATTTTTTTAATTAACATTTTTTATCTATAAAATTTGATCCTCATTCTTTTGATTGTTACTTATTTTATTTGAAATAATTGATGAAATTGTAATTATTATTATTTTAATTTCATCATCTTTTAATTTTTTTATCTTTATATTTGATCTCTATTATTTTGATTGTTATTTATTTTATTTGAGATAATTTATAAAATTAGATTTTTTTAATTTTATTTTTATTTAATC